AACATCATTCCACCACTCTGCAGCCCATGTCTCAAACTACAAAATAGACGCTGAAAACACGGAGCTTTCTTATATTATATTAGAGCTAGAGGAGGCTGAAGTGGACGGCCGTTGTAAAGCGCTCTGACCACTGCTACACGTGTGCTTCTGTGGACTGTTCGTGTTCAACTGCTGATTTTCGCCCCCACGAAAATGGACATGGCATTCTGCAGGCCCTTGAGGATATTTGTTATCTGCGTGCTTGCGGTAGGTGTGAGCTGGCTTAAGGAGCTGCAGCGAAGGGACATTCTAAAAAGCAGTTTGTCACCAAAAAAATGTTTTTAGGGAACACAGAACTGATAAAGTTCCCGCATTTCTTAAGGCGACAACAGGTTTTTATAAGCCTACGATATTCCTTATAAGCGGTCTTCAAAACAAGGAATAGGCATGAGATTAGGAGACAACTGCCGATTCGTTTAGTTATTTAAAAGTTTGTTTGTTTTTGTTTTGTTTAGGGGTTGTTTTTTTTTCAAATTGTGGGATACAGGTTTCTCGAACTAAGTTGCTGAGCGGTAGCCCATGCCGTTTCTAGTTTGCTTGATTGTTTGAGTGAAACGAGAAATCACACTCTTGGAGTGGCCTTGGGGCGTGCTTGTGCAATTGTTTGAAAAGCACTAGTATATAGGTGAAATGTGTTATCAAATGAGAAGGGGTAAGAAGTATATAAGCGTTATTTGAAATTCTGAAAATTGCTCGCTCCTCTGAGTCTTGTCTTTATATCTTGTGGGGGGGAAATATCAACCTCCAGTGCTTCTTAGACAAGTTGCAAATGATATCTCCTCATATTGATCACGCCCCAAATGACTTAATGGCTTAGACTGAGGTCTTTTCGGGTTGATGTCAAATCAACAATTTGATACCGGTAACCTGATGATGATATAGGTTTGCCACTTGCACAACAGTGACCAATATTTTCGAAATTACAAAATAGAATTTTAAAACCTCAGAGTCAATTTTTCTAATATATGCGTCCTTTAAAGGAACAATGGTGTGTGTGTGTGTGTGTGTGTGT